CACAAACTGGTCAAATTAGCAATTTCTAAGCCCCAAGACTTTACAAAAAAAATATTACAGGTGAAATATCTTTCGAATGATTCAAAAAATTGTCAAAAAAGCTTCGTTAAAAAGTCAAAAAATGACTGAATAAAAAACCACCCCAGGCATAAACTTGATTTTTTTTGCAGTTTCAGCAAGGTTATTAAATCGAACACTACTCCATAGACGTTAAAATATGGTCCGATTATTCAAGGCGTCACTCTGATACGCGTAGACTTGTTATCTTTGTCTGACGTAGTTAACATAGAGATAAAGAAACGAACGAAATAAACACTTTCGGAGAAAGGACGTCTCTAGACTACCATTAAAACTAATGCAATTAGTTAACTTAAGTGACTCGAGTGCTTAAAACCTACTAGCTTTAAAGAGGGTAGAATGATATTATGAAACAAAGAATTATTAAACGCCTACACATAATTGTTTTGTTTAGTGAAAAATCATTTAGCAAGCCCCTGTAAGCATTTTGAACTTGAAACATTTAAATAGTGCAATAATCATTTACAATTCCAGAATAATACATGATTTTTGTTTAACAAACTTTGGGGAGACAAGAATAAAAATCGAAAACTTTTTAAGTTCACATGTACCTACAAATTACGAAAAATCGAAAACATGTTAAGTTCATATGTACCTACAAACTATGAGTCAGAGAGCATGTGGTGATATCATATAGTCAAAACCATACCAAATTGTAACAGGCCAGCATCCAATCATCATACCATTCCATTTGTCATTACCCTTGCCAACATTAGCTCCAACGTTTATCTGCTATAAGTAGTTACGTCCTCTCATGGTCACAAACGAATTTTTCAATTATTATGATTTTTTTGTTTTAACCACGCGACAAGAAGTCACGAGAAGGAACTATTGATTAGCTAGTGTTTTTCCGCTCTATTTTAGGAACTTCAAAGAAAATTTAAAATAAGTCTATTAAGGAGGTGTGGTATCATATTAAGCCCATATTGGTTGCATACTGGATTCCAAAAGGATGTGTGCCCAGAAAAATGACTCGATATTTACAAATGACACTATGAGAGTAGTTTTAAAATGAAAACTCTCAATTTAATTAACCTTTGATTGACCCATTACAATAGCTATTTTAATGTCTCGTCTAACTAAATCTATCGCCCTTCACTAGGAAAACACAAAAAATAAAGTTTAAAACGATTTTTTTTTCTCGTTTGATTAATTTCTTTACTTCAAACATTGAGGTCTGAACATTCTATGCTATTTGCACAGCAAACGGCAATATCGTATTTCTATAATTTTTCATGGGCGTATTGCCTCATCTTTCAGAATTATTTTCACAAATGCAAGTAAAAATTCGTAGAAAGCAAACAATATTCTTAAAAGGAAAGCACAACATTCGAAATTGAAGGTCAAAAAAATTATGTCTAGGAAAACTATGTTCCTTTCACATGGTGTTCATTAACAGCCTTGAAAAATCACTGGGAATTCTTAACCAAGCGGCAACTAAGTTGAAAATATATTAGGGTCGACCGGCATTTATCAAAAAAAAATGTGGTCATCAAAAAATTTAAGCTACAAAGCTTTTATGCCAAATTTTAGGACTTTTTTCCTAAATTGAGCTCCCGCTTGTGCTAGTATGCAGCCTTCAAATAAAATCAGAGTAAATTGTCTTTAGTCAGATGCTTTTCAGTAGTTTAGAAACTAGATTAAAATAAAACTAAATTCATTCTGAAAACCAAACTCAATTTCAATCAAAACCTAACTAATTGCGGATTTAGGTGTTCCTGAACAAAACGGGTCAAAAATCTTCTTCAAATCGACTTCAATAGCTTTTTTGTTTAACTGCTTCAATAAATAACAGTTGCAAGTCAGTAAACAATTATTGCCGTAAAACATGTTTGATCTTTCGCCAAACAAATAAAGTTTAACTTTTCATCTTATTCTATTATAGCTACATCAACCACGATTCTTGACCCTCGTTGCATGAAAACACTGTGCATGTATTCACAATACAATATGGAAAAAATCACATTTTGATCCAAGCATAAACAAGTTTGCAATTCCAAAATTATCTTCTACGCTGAAAATTGGGTTACAGTTACAGTTCTCATTGTGTTCGATTTGGGCCAAATTGAGCTGGCTTTTGACAAAGTTCAAATTGATACAATCTTGCTCGACATTTAACTTCATGCTACAATTCGCATCAGTGCATGTAACATTTGAAGGACTTATTCCCAGCTTGAATTTTCTACATATCGGACAAAGTACAAAGTCGTCTGAAAATCGATTAGCTTGCTCAACGTTTGAATTCTCAAAATCTTCCAGACTTTCGAAGTAATTTTGCTCGACTTGCGATAGAATTTCCTGTTTCATTTCGTCAAAAACAGGAGCTAAATCATCGTATAAAAGTTCAAGTTCAAATTCATCCATGGAGGCAAACTTTTCTTGGTCTGCTAAAATCAAGTCACGAATGTTCAAACATGATTCATCGTTTTCGTCGTCGGAAAAATCGTCGTCTCCATTTAAGGTAATATTTCTACGAAGACTAGTCGAATTTAGTCTGTCTTCTTTGTAGCGAGTTAGCAATTCACTGCGCAGAGTTTTTCGGATTTTGTCAACCTTATCATTTGACTGTGCCTGAGACGGCTTCAAAAGAGCCCGCTTCATTATTCAGATTTCATAATTCCACTGAAATTTAGGATCATATTGTCATGATTATTAATGTGACTTTAAGACCAGAAAATAAAGGCATGTTAAAGGAAGCAATATAACATTTCGAAGTATTTACTTCAGAATACGGAAAAGTCCAACGACTTCACGTGATGTTATCTTCGCATGACGGAATTTGGCAATACTTTTCAACATATAACCCTGTTTTTTCAAAATTAATAATGAGCGAAAAAAAAAATAAAAACAAGAATTAAAAAAAACACTATTTACTTTTTTCCGCTCCCTGTTACATATGAAGTGCATCTTGACAATTCTGATTGCACGAGAATCAACTCTCACAGTGTAAACCTGTACAGAGTTCGTATTGAGCTGCGACTGACGATAATCCGAGGTTTTACACATCAGTCGTGAAGTATTTTACTGAGACGTGACGCATAATCATATCCAATGCCAGATATTGGATTTGCATAACGTGCGCCTGTTGGTTGAACACTGGTTTTTAGAGGTAATAATTTGTTTGACGGAGACGACTTGAATAAACGCATTAAAGCTCATCGACGCTGAAAAACTTTGATAAAAAACAACTTAAATCGAGAATGCAGAATTAAATGTATTTTTTTTTTGCGAGGCAAGAAGCTTTTGTTCGAGTTAAAACTGCAGCGCAGTCTAACATAAGACTATCCGTCAAGCTGAAAGTAAAGCTCGAACTTGGGCGTTATTCAAATTTTACTTCAAGGGAGTTGTCTGAGCTCAACTCTGAAAATGAGTTCGAAAAAAAATCGAAGGTCAAGATCACAATAGACAACCAATCGCCAAAAAAGCTTCAACACTTTAGGGGAAAAACGAAACTCTTTCGGTTAATTTTTTTCGGGAGTTGCAGGTTGCTTTGCAACTGGTTCAAAAAGCGATATGATATTTTCGATATTTGACAAAGAGGCCAAGTGGAGCTTAGCGCCACTTGCGATTCCACATTAGAATATCATAGCAAGCTAACAGACAGGAAAGGAGAGCCACTAAGAATAAAAAATCGAAAAAAAAACAACTTCAAAACGTTCCCAATGTTGTCTGGAAGGATGTCCTATTTGTGGAATACAAGTCTAGAAGCACAACCGACTGTGTTTAACGAACATTCAAAAAACATTATCCAGCGACAACTGAGCCGACAAAACTTAAGTTAACTCCCTTAAAACCGAAAACAAAATTGTTTTCATGAAACATTTTGAACCATATCTCTTGTAAGAGATCATAAAGGGCCGGAATCATAAAAAAAAGAAAATATACGAAGCCAACGCCGGTAAAAAATAACAATTGCTGGAGTAATCACAACACGAGGAGCAATTAAAATGACAATTGCACACATTAAAAAAAAACAATTCAAAGGTATGTCAACTAAGTCCAGACGGAATCACTACCAACTATATTTTTGCGCCAAACAGAGTCCATCATTTTCATCTCTTCGCTCTACATTCCCTTGAAAACCAAGAAAAGAATCAAACCATTCCAATTTTTTTGAGACAGTTTTTCAGAATTGTTTGATGCAGTCCGGATTATGAGTTAAAAAGATATATTATGATATATTACTCAATGTTTGATATAACTCAGTATGGGTCAAAATTACCCGAAGACGATTTTTCTTCCCACTGAATCATCAGAAACTCGACTTGAAAGTAGAAAAACAACACATTTTACAAAAAATAGCCAACAGACAGCTAGAAAACAGTAATTGAACGCAAGTAAACAGAAAAAAGTGTTCAATTTGCTCCATAAGTAAAATTTTCATACAACTGGGAAATCTGAACATTGAAATCCACTATCAAAACTATCTTTACAGTTTTTTATCGTGACCTTTGCACTTTTGCTGTTCGATAGTGGAGTTTGCCTTCCTGGAGTTTGAAAAATATCAAACCAAATCAGCAAGACTTATATAAGAGTCTTCACTACGTTTATTACTCTTAAAAAATATGGTCTTAAAACTTTTTGAACTTGAATAACAAGTTAAGATTCATAAATTTTTCACCCAATTCGAGCGCCTTTTCAGGCGCCTTTAGAAAAATTGTAGAGTCCGTCACCAAAATGAATATCTCAAAATAGTACAATGGGAGGACCCTTTGTGTCGGCAGGGGGTCGAATACCTGAGGGGGGGGGGGGGAGGCGTCCGCCCTGCTCCCCCCCCCCCTAAATCCACCTCTGAGTAAGACACTTCGCTTTCTACATTTTTTTTTCTCTGCGCTATGCAGAATTCGAAATTAAATCCACGAAACTGATTCACGGGTTACTGTAATTGTGATCTAGGCAAAAACTTTTTTTCTTTCTAAAACTGAAATTAAAGGATTCTATTCCTTCAGCACTATAACAGAATCAACAACTAAATCGTGAGCACCTTACGAAAACAAGATTCAAAATTCTACATTTATGTATTGGAGAAATCTGCGGATAAATCGGAAGTGAACCAAATTGCAATTAACTAGGCTACGAGAGATATAACGATAAAACGATAAAACGGCACTAATTGCAGCGCCATCGATTACTTGGAAGAAATGGTCCAAACTCTAACGAGTTCTGTCAGCATTGTATTCACAAAATAAATTCAAGACAAAATAATTTCCAGGTAATACTTTAGCAAAAAAAACACAGAAGACCTTATTTTCAGGGTTCATTTTACGCAAAAGATTATCTAAATTTGATCTCGAGTTTTAAAAAGTTAACATGAGCAAGGCCAACTATATGATTTTTTTTGCAAATGTAGTAACACATCCCTCTTGAACATTTAGTATAATTTTTGCTAATATAATTAATATGTCAAAATAAGGCAGATAAAATAGCATTGGTAGCAATGGCATGAACTACTTTTGTGCCATGGGTGATCAAAAGCATCTTTGAGTAAACAAATAAGCTAAACAAATGGTAGTTTAGTGGAAAGCGTCCTTGAAGCACCGAAATTGAAAGTAGCCTGTACAAACTTCGATATGGGCGAAATGAAAAAACTTGGTCATAAACATGCATCGCACAGCACTCAAAATCCCCAGTCGAGCCTATTCAGCGACAATGTTTTTAAAAAATAATAATAATTCATATGACTCTAGTTGTATAAAATGACCTGGATATGTTATGCATTCAATGTGTTCAACCACACTCCGATTATAATTTGTGTTACATTGAAAACAACGCGTTAATTAAGTATTGAGTTAATTTGTTCAAATTCAAAATTGTAAGCAAAAAACATCAACCATAAATTTAGCCATAACTAAATTTGCCAAGTTTTCACTAAAAATATGGGTTGCTATAGAGTGGTTTTAGTAATTTTGCGTTGCTTTTAAAAACAAAACTAGCACTGTGTTTGAAAAACCTTTCAAACCAATTACCTATTCCATGTTACAAAAACGAGCATCATGCATTCATTCAGTTTCTATCATAGGAAGACATCTGAGAAATAATTGCAAAGTTAAACAGTCACTTATTGTACAAAATTAGAAGAAATTACTTTCCTGTTTGTGAGCAGAAAAGACGACATTCTGAGCAAGTTATAACACTGGTTACTTTTAAAAGTATTTTACAAATGGTAAAGGCACAAATGCGAGGTCAGAATTCAATCCACAGTCTCTGTTCTAGTTTTCGTCCGATGTGTTTTGCTGGTCCGAGAAAACGGATTCCTGAAAATCAAATTAAATAATGAGCATCGTGGTTACCACTTTGTAAGTAGCTCTAAAATAAGAAATTTTAGCCTACAAAAAATTCAAAGAATTCATGTATAAAATTCGTGAAACCCAAAATATGTCACAGCGGGTACTTACAATGAACAAAAACCTAGCAGCCAAATACAGTTTGGATTTTGATGTATTAAAAACTGAATTACACCTTAAAACACCAAAATAACATTAATTCAATAAACTCTTATAATTGGTAACTAGCTGGCGGATTTCTCTAACAAAACATAGCTAATCGAAGATTGGAAAAGAGTAATGAACGCAAGTAAACTTGCAAAAAATCTCAACTTTCGAATTCCAAAGAAAAAAATAGATGCCTTTACAATTTATGATCGGCGCTTTTTCCATAATATGAATCCAACGAGAGAAAACTGAACCAATAGATAAAGTTTTATTTTGCAGGAAATCAAAAATTAAATTCCTTGTTTCGAAACTAGATATCATTCAAGTTTTTTTCGCGTCATTTCCACGTTCGTATTTCGAGAGCGCTATTTACGTCACTTTTAGCAGATGAATTTCAATTGAACTCAAAAAGTACATATATACCTAAATGCATCAAAATGTATGAACGCGCACATCTGTAGTTATTACAGACTTTTAGGACTTTTCCTGAAAAAAAATCAACAAAAAATCAGCAAGAACTGTATAAGAGTATAAGACCTGTAAACTTTAAACCTCCCAATCACGCTATTCAAGCTATGAAATTTATGAAACAATTCCGCAAAAAATTCAAGTTTTTATAAGCAAGCTATTCAAGCTAAAAAAAACTGCGAAACATGCAAAGGTTAAGTTTATTCAAACAAATTATTGAGTACTGAAACTGCGGAACTGTTTCGAGTTTCAATTTTTTTATAGCCTGAACCATTCGCAAATAGCTTCGAGCAGGCTATTCGAGATGATTTCATAGTTTGAATTGATTGGCGAAGAATTTAAATTTTTGAGCAGTCAGGTGATAAATGAAATTTAGACATATTTCAAGTTGATTCAGAGTTTAAATTGGTCCGCAAAAAGTTCAGGTTCCTTGAAGCAAGCTAGTGAGCAACGAAACGTTTCAAGTTGTTTTTAAAGCTCGAATGAATTTGCTAAGTTTTTAACTTTTTTCCAGCAGGCTCTTGAGAAATAAAACGTCCATTTACAAAATCTCAAATTCAAGTTCAGCTTGGTATTTCATTCGAACACCTTGGTAAAAGCAAAATTGTGGTCGGAACATTCTGTGCTACTTGTACATCAACCAGCTATCTTTGTTTAAATTTGTATTCCTAGTTTAAAAAAACTGTGTTTCAAAGAAAAATATATTTCACTTAGTCTCTTTGGAGGAATTTTTTACACAGAGGCCAAGTTGCACTTCGCATACACAAGCAAAAACATGACCGATAACGCTACTGGAAAAAAAACAGAATAAGTAAAACTTTGAGTCTACAAAATTTCTTAGTGACTCACTAGCAGTACCAGTCAATTTGAAAAAAAAGAGAAATTAACCAACTAATATGCCTCAATTTATAGAGCAGTCTATGGAGCAGTAAAAAGATGAAAATTAAATGTAATAAAAATAAAATGAATTTTTTTTCGATATTTTATGTGAAAACAATCCCCCCCCCCCCCCCCCCCCCACATGCCATATCAAGTACAAAGTGATAAATTTCCTTCCTAGTAAGAAATCAATTATGGCAAATAAGCTTCCTTCAATCAATTTGGAACGATTTCTATGACGGATTAAATATCCAGCTTACGCGTTAATAGCGCGAAATATATCGCGCACTAATTGTCCCAAATTGGCCAAAATGGCAATTTTTAAAACCCCATAACTTTACAAAAAATGATGTACAACATCTCGTCAAAAATGGCTAGTTAAAAAATCGAAATTTGTCTGAAGAAAAAAAAACACCCGAACACAAATATTCGGAGCAATAAAAGTCTGCGTTAAAATCCTTAGCATTGGCTGTACTTAATAGCTGGTTAGTTATCAAAATCAACACTTTCAAAATGAACACATTTTATTTCAACAATATTTGCGTCGCAACAATATTAGGCGTCGCAACAATGTTAGCGACTTAGGTCGGAAAAAAGATAGTTCATACTATAACACAAGCATTGCTTGTGTAATAGTAGTCTGTGTTGACATCCTTAGCATTGGCAGTACTTAATAGCTGGATCAAAATGAAAACTTTCAAAATGAACACAGTTTGTCGCAACAAGTGCATCGCAACAATATTTGCGACTTAGGTTGGAACAAAAAGAAAGTTCAATATTATAACACAGCTTTCCTTGTGAAATGATGAACACTTTTTCTAAATTGGATCTTTAGGAAATTTAAAAGCAAAGCGTGGAAAAAAAAACGAAATTTCAGACCAGACCCTTCCCTGAAAACAAAACGACTCAAGCCCTAAATAAGTGAGAAATATTTATGTGAAATACATCAACCGAAAGAATTAAAGAAAAAAAACACTCAAAATAATTTTTGATATATAAAATTTTTTGGAGTGGATTCGACAGTTGCATCACTATTCCAACGATCACTTGCTGATAAAGTAAGTAACAGGCAACAAAAAAAACGCTTTAATTGAGGAAGAGAATTGCAGAACGAGGAAATAAAAAAAAGTTGAATGAAATCTTGAATTATTTTTTTCAACATTCCATTTTTGAAGAAAAAATACATGACGTTAAAACTGACAAATAAATGATTTTCAAAAATTATTATGATTGCCAATTTTTCTAAATTTATCCTTGTTGAACAAACCTTTGACATCCTTAGCATTGGCTGTACTTAATAGCTAGATCAAAATGATCACTTTCAAAATGAACACACTTTGTCAACATCGCAACAATATTTGCGACTTAGGTCGGAAAAAAAGAAATTTCAATATTATAACACAGCTTTGCTTGTGTAATGATGAACACTTTTTCTAAATTGGATCTTTAGGAAATTTAAAAGCAAAGCGTGGAGAAAAACGAAATAAACAAAAATTTCAGACCCTTCCCCGAAAAAAAACGACTCAAGCCCTCAATAAGTGAGAAATATTTATACGAAATGCATCAACCGAAAGAATTAAAGAAAAAAAACAATCAAAATAATTTTTGATTAATAAAAATTTTTGGAGTGGATTCGAAAGTTGCACCACTATTCCAACGATCACTTGCTGATAAAGTAAGTAACAGGCAACAAAAAATGCGCTTTAATTGAGGAAGAGAATTGCAGAACGAGGTTAAAAAAAAGTTGAATGAAATCTTAAATTATTTTTTTCAACATTCCATTTTCGAACAAAAAATACATGACGTTAAAACTGACAAATAAATGATTTTCAAAAATTATTATGATTGCCAATTTTTCTAAATTTATCCTTGTTGAACAAACCTTTGACATCCTTAGCATTGGCTGTACTTAATAGCTAGATCAAAATGAACCCTATCAAAATGCACACATCTTGTCGCAACAATTGCATCGCAACAATATTTGCGACTTAGGTCGGAAAAAAAAGAAAGTTCATACTATAACACAAGCATTGCCTGTGTAATAATAGTCTGTATTGACATCCTTAGCATTGGCAGTACTTAATAGCTGGATCAAAATGAACACTTTCAAAATGAACACATTTTGTCAACATCGCAACAATATTTGCGACTTAGGTCGGAAAAAAAGATAGTTCATACTATAACACAAGCATTGCCTGTGTAATAATAGTCTGTGTTGACATCCTTAGCATTGGTAGTACTTAATAGCTGGATCAAAATAAACACTTTCAAAATGAACACATTTTGTCAACATCGCAACAATATTTGCGACTTAGGTCGGAAAAAAAGATAGTTCATACTATAACACAAGCATTGCTTGTGTAATAATAGTCTGTGTTGACATCCTTAGCATTCGCAGTACTTAATAGCTGGATCAAAATGAACACATGGATGAACACATTTTGTCGCAACAAGTGCATCGCAACAATATTTGCGACTTAGGTTGGAACAAAAAGAAAGGTCAATAATGTAACACAGCTTTGCTTGTGTAATGATGAACACTTTTTCTAAATTGGATCTTTAGGAAATTTAAAAGCAAAGCGTGGAAAAAAAAATTTCAGACCAGACCCTTCCCTGAAAACAAAACGACTCAAGCCCTAAAAAAGTGAGAAATATTCATGCGAAACACATCAACAGAAAGAATTAAAGAAAAAAAACAATCAAAATAATTTTTGATATATAAAATTTATTGGAGTGGATTCGAAAGTTGCACCACTATTCCAACGATCACTTGCTGATAAAGTAAGTAACAGGCAACAAAAAAAGCGCTTTAATTGTGGAAGAGAATTGCAGAACGAGGAAATAAAAAAAAGTTGAATGAAATCTTAAATTATTTTTTTCAACATTCCATTTTCGAACAAAAAATAAATGACGTTTAAACTGACAAATAAATGATTTTCAAAAATTATTATGATTGCCAATTTTTCTAAATTTATCCTTGTTGAACAAACCTTTGACATCCTTAGCATTGGCTGTACTTAATAGCTAGATCAAAATGAACCCTATCAAAATGAACACATCTTGTCGCAACAATTGCATCGCAACAATATTTCCGACTTAGGTCGAAAAAAAAAGATAGTTCATACTATAACACAAGCATTGCCAGTGTAATAATAGTCTGTGTTTACATCCTTAGCATTGGCTGTACTTAATAGCTAGATCAAAATGAACACTTTTCGTCGCAACAATTGCATCGCAACAATATTTGCGACTTAGGTAAAAAAAAACAGTTCATATTATAACACAAGCATTGCATGTGTAATAATAGTCTGTGTTGACATCCTTAGCATTGGCTGTACTTTATAGCTGGATCAAAATAAACACTTCCAAAATGAACACATTTTGTCAACATCGCAACAATATTAGCGACTTAGGTCGGAAAAAAGATAGTTCATACTATAACACAAGCATTGCTTGTGTAATAATAGTCTGTGTTG